GGCTGCACAACCCCAACTCTCCCAGCCTTTCTCCATAGCAGAGGTGTCCCAGCCCTCGGACCATTTTGGTGGCCTCCTCTGGACCCGCTGTACCAGGTCCATGTCTGTCTTGTGGTGGGGACCCCAGAGCTAGACGCAGTGCTCCAGGGGGGGTCTCAGGAGAGCGGAGCAGAGGGGGAGCATCCCCTCCCTCGACCTGCTGGCCACGCTGTTGGTGATGCAGGCCAGGAGACGCTTGGCTTTCTGGGCTGCAAGCGCACATTGCCGGCTCATGTCCCATTTATCACCCACCCGTCTCCCCAAGCCCTTCTTCGCAGTGCTGAAAGCCTCCTTTTCCAGAGAAGGCAAGTCTGGTGCATGAGTCTCAAGCAAAGCCAAATCCGATACTGCATCAAGCAAGAAATGCCGGTGCGCTTCTTCAACTGTGCATGTGAAGAAGCAACAGCAGAAGCAACAGCACGTGACTGATGGCCCACATCTCACACACCTGTCCCGGGCGCTCAGCATCACTCTTGCACGCAACAGTCACCTGCAAGGGGGGACCAGCCAACGGTACTGCCGCAGGGGGAAGAAGGGTGTGTTACCCAACCTCACCCCGTGGACTGCTCGTGCAACCCAACCCGGGGAGTGGGGAGCAACAGGAGATATGGAGAAACGGTGGAAGGTGAAAGGAGAGGAGGCAATGGAAAAGGGATGGGAAAAGAGAATACTCTGAAAGGATCAGAAAGAAGTTACGGAGAGGCTGACACGATGAAGAAACTCCCAATGAGTGCTTCCCCTGGGATTTTCAGGTCCACCAGCACGGCCTGAGCTCACCCTTAGTTCCAGCTCACAGAGAGCTGAACTGAAGGGCTGGGTACAGCCCTCCTGAGCTGGAGCAGCTCTCAAAGCCTCTACGCAGGGGGGGACCGGTGCAAGGCAACATCTCTGCAGGGTCAGATGTGCCTGGTGCAGACCGGCATTCAGACACTCCTACCGGGTGTTGGTACACCCAGAGCAGCCCAGCCAACACATCCCTACCTCCAGGAGACGGCACTGGAGACATCTTGAAGATATACTTGCATTTGCTTTGCAGCTATTCTAAGCAAGCAGCAGCTTAGTATTTATGGCAGAGCCTCAGACAGCTCATCTTATTCCTCCTCTGCTGGCAAACCTCACACGAAACCCCCCGGCAGCTTCAGCTTCAGCAGGCAGCCTCTGCTTGAGAGGTGCCCAGCCCAAAGCAAGGTCAAAACAGCTCCTGAGCATCCGGCAAAGACATGATGTGCCATCCAAGCGACTCTTCTGCCTTTTCAAAATTGTTTTCCTAAAATCCAGTTCATTCTCATTCAGCTGAAAAGTATCAACATATGTTGATCTGCAGCCAAATATAGCCTGGGTGTTGAACGACACCCCTTTCTGCTAATCAGTATACCACACCATAGCTCTTTTACTTAAGAAGTTATTTAACTTAGTGTTTATTTTGTCAGATTGTTATTTTATGTTCCCACAGGCATCCCACATGTCTACAAAATGCATTTAGTTTTTGAAGGAACATGGAGTTTCATGCAAAATGGGCTGGAAAAAGCATTTTAAATGGCTTTCAGTCATTAAATAAAACTACCTGAATATTCAGAGTAAATAAAAAGCATATCAAAATGTACCTTGCGGTTGAAAGAAACTCATTAAACAGAAAATATTAACTAAAGTTAGGAAATGGGGTTGTTTCACCCAGGGCCAGCAACTCTTCACTCCCCAAACATGGGGAAAGCAGCCCAATTTGCTGAACCACCAAGCTGGATTTCCAAAGAGCTCACATAGCTCTGCGTACCCACAGGGGGCTTTGAAACCCCCACAAAGCATACACTGAAACCTGGGACCTTGGCCTTCAATGTTTTTAATTGAGAAAGACATTTCTGAAGTGCTCATCCCGTGGGAGGGCCCGGGGGGGCTGCCAGCCTTCCTCCTGAGCCCGTCGGGGTTACAGGGGGAGCAGAGATCCCACTCCTGAGTTCCCACCGGCTGGGTTTGTTTCAGTGTTCAAACTAGTCCAAGCGAGGTGAATATTTCCACCGCACCGGCTAGATAAACCAAGCCCAAAAACAACTAGAGCAAAAGCTATTCTGAATAACAAGGACTGAAAGTACTGACATTTGGAAGAACGTAAATAGCAGCTTTTGCTCTGTTAGGAACTCAGAATTTGATACTTATAGAAACACGGAAAATACTGTCGAGACGTCTGGGAACCTGCACCACTGGCAACATTTCTAGGCTGGGGATGCCCTTGGGAGCTGCCACCCCAAAGCCTCCTGCGTCTTTCTGCTGCTGGTGAGCTGACCGAGGTAGGGTTATTCAAACTGCTGCTGTGAAATGGGGACAAACAGCGTGGTTTTAATGTAACAGATTTAGATCATGAAAACACTTTTCCCCGGTGCAGACGCAGCCCAGGAGCCAGGCTGCCCCTGGGACCAGTTTGCTGCGGGCTCGTAGAGTTTGGGACAGCCACTGAGGGCTCCCACGGAAGAGGCCAGCACCATTGGCTGCCCCAGGACGATGGCCGGAGGACCAGCCCTGCCCGATGTGCTGGGGCACGTGCTCACACGAGCCTCCCTGCCTCGTGGGCTCCAACACAGCCCAGCCAGCTGGCCCGGGGTAAGACAAAGCCATTCCTATGAAAGGTCCAGGTCTGATGAGGCTCTTCTGGCTGGAGATGACAACAGCAAAGCCAGAATAAAAGTCCATAATCTTAATGCTCAGTTACTCCTAATTTAC